TTTAAGTTAAGCTGGGGCTATATTTAGACCTATTAAGGCTTAACTCAGGTTATGTTTAGAGCTAAGATATAAGCTAAACTTAGTCATGATTAAAGCTACGTTGGAACTAAAATGAGATTATCATTAGAGATAGATTGAAGCTAAACTGAGTCCACAATTTGAGCAACAATTGAGCAAAATTATACTATATTTAGAGTTTATTGGAGCTAACGCTATATATAGAGCATCGATTGAAGCTAAACTCAGACCATATTTCGACCTATGATTGAAAGTAAACAAAGATTGTAGTTACGAGCTATGTTTGAAGCTAAAGTAAGACTAATTGAGAGTTAAACAGAGACTATATTCAGAGTTACGATTGAAGCTAAGCTAAGCTTGTATTGGGACTACGATTCAAGCTAAACGTATACTATTTACAACTACTACTAAAGAAGATAATAACCACAATTGGAGCTAAATTGAAGCATCAACTAGAGATACGACAGAAGCTTAATTCAGATCATACTTGGAGCTATATTTGAGGCTAAAATGAGACTATATGAAGCAAACTGAAACTATAATAAGATCTATGACTAAAGCAATATCTTCAGCTAGGATTGAAGCTAAACTTAGGCCATATTTAGAGCTCCGATTACAGCTAAACTGTGACTATATTCAAACTAAATTGAGACTACATTAGAGCATGATTGAAACTAAACTGAGACTATAAGAACTACGATTGAAGCTAGACGGTGACTAATTAGTTAAACAGAGACTATATAAAGAGCTACGATTGAAGCTAAACGGGGTCTAATTAAGATTTATAAAGGACTAAATAAAAAGCTATGATTGAAGCTAAACCGAGATTGTGTTGAGCCACGATTCAAACTAGACGTAGACCATTTACAGCTATTATTTAAGACTATGATTAGAACCACTATTGAAGCTTAACTGAGGCTTTTTTAGAGATATAATTGAAGCTTAAGACTGACTATATTTAGAGCTAAACTGAATATATATTAAGATCTACGATTAAAGATAAACTGAGACTATAATTAGAGCTAAACTCACAGCATATTTAAAGCTACGATTAAGCTAAACGGAGACTAGGATTGAAGCTAAACCGAGATTATTTTAAAGCTGATCAGAGACTATATTTAGAGCTAAGTTGAAACTAACTGAGACTATATAAGATCAAGGATTGAAGCTAAACTGAGAATATATTTAGAGCTACGTTTGAAGCTAAACTGAGACTTCATTTAGAGCTGCATTTGAAGCTAAACTGAGACTATATTTAAGCTAAGCTTGAAGCTAAACTGAGACTATATTTGAACTAAAATTAAACTTGAAATGGACCTACGATTAGAGCTGGAAGTGTTTTATAAGAAGAACAATTACTGCTCAAATTGGTCTATAAATAGACATACGGTTAGAGGTAAAATTTGTCTAGAGAAAGAACGATGATTGCAGTTATAATTGGCCTATAAAGAGGCTTTCTATGGATAAGATTTAAGACGAAGATTTTGTCCAAAAATTTAATTATAAAATGGCCTTCGATTTGAGCTGCAGTTGGCCTGTATGAATAAGAATGATTACAGCTCAAATTGATCTATAAAGAGGCTTACGATTAGAGCTAAGATTGATCTAGAAAAAGGATCTATTATTAGATTGTAAAGAGACCAAGTTAATCTACAAAAAAGCACTGATTGAAGGCAAATTTGGACTATAAAGAGATCCACGTTTGGAGCTAAGATTGATCTACAAGAAGAACTATAATTACAGCTAAAGTTTAAATGTGATTTAAGCTTAGAGCTAAGATTGATCTATAAAAAGATCTAAGATTGCAACTAAAATTAGATTACAAAGATAGCTAAATTTGAGCTACAATAAGAGCAATGATTTGAGCCAAAATTGGTGTATAAAGAGACCTATGTTTAGAACTAAATTGGTCTACAAGAAGAAGCGAATACAGTATAAGTTGGTATATTAAAGGATCTACGATTAGAGCTAAGATTGACCTACAAAAAGATCTATGATTACTGTTAAAAATAGATTATAAAGAGACCTAAAATTAAGCTAAAAAGAGCAATGATTTGAGTCAAAATTGGTCATAAATAGACCTACGTTTAGAGCTAATATTGGTCCCAAGAACAAAATATTAGCTAAAGTTGAAATATAAAGTGGTCTACGATTACTGCTAAGATTGGTCTATAAAGTGATCTATGATTACAGTTAAAAATATATTATAAAGAGACTTTAAATTGGACTATAAAGAGACCTATGTTTAAAGCTAAAATAGGTCTAAAAGAAGAATGATTACTTCCACAAAAATAGCAATAATTGCACTTGAGTTCGACCTGATTAAAGCTGAAATTAAACTTAAATAGAATATTGAGTTCAACAGAAATTTTACTATAAATGACCTGCAATTAGAGAAAACAGTCGAACAGCAATAGATCTTTGATTAGAACTAAAATTTGTATCCTAAAGACCTACAATTACAACTAAAATTATTTCCCCAAAGAGTAAATTTATCTTTTATTAAAAAAATATATATATATTTTTATCAATTATGTACTAAATCAGAAAAAAAGAATAATTACAGCGAAATATACAATTAAAATAATTGAACCTCTTCGATTGAATACCATTTCGAAGAATTTTTCTCCTTAATGTTTTTCTACGTTCAACAATATTATACAATAAGGCGGCCACTGTTTTCCAATTCGACAATTTCACGTTTATAATTCTGAATCAATTCATGCCATTTGTATAGAATTTCCATTAATTCAATATCTTTGGATAAGGCTAATTTTTGAAAATGTGAATTAAGAAAAACACCAAACCAACGCATTAATTGCAATTCATAATCACTGCTGCAGTTATAGAGAGAGGGACGTTCTTCGATCAGTGATAGTTGGGGTGTTATAGCATATTATATAAATGTTGTAATATCAATAGGATTTTATTATATTTCTATATCATTTCTAATGTGTACCGCTATGGCTTCAGCATCAAAGGAACATTGCAAAAGTATATTAAGATGTCTAAAGCTTCTGTGGGGGAGTTATGGGTGGTGGGTTTTTCCGCTAATAAATCTAAATTGGGATAGGGTTTTGCTGTGGCATCTGATTCTATTTGAAAATCAACTTCATGTGTTTATTTGTTTTGCCATTTGTTAGGTTTTTAGGGGTTCTTCTTCGTGATTTAGTGCTGCAATTGTTGTTATATTTGTTAATAAGTAATTTAAAGTTTTCGAAGTATTTTCTCCGATATATTTTGATAACGTTTCAGACATACTCCTATATCTTGCAATAAATTGGCTTTTATTAACACGGTCAATAGTTTTTCTGTTATTTCATGTTCACTGGCTCCTGCCTTTTCCAGTTGCTTGGCTATAAGTTGTATTTCTGGACTAATAAAACCATTGTCATTGTAGTTAGCCATTAGGGAAATTTGTACATCATCTAAAGGCTGTTCCACCTGATTTACTTCAACATGTAAATTTAATTGTTTTAAGGAATTTAAATTCCCTTATCAAATCCCTTGCTATTTAGAAAAGCCACAAATTTACCATCAGCTTCCTTTATATCTTTATCATTTGTTTTGCTGTTCTTTACATTAAATGGCTCATAATCATTACTGTACTGTAGACAATCTTCTAAAAAGGCTTCTTCATTGATGTGTATATCTTCCAAAGCTGGCTGATAATCGTGTCCCACTTGTGTGCCCACCAATTCAGATAAAACCTCTTTTAGTACTTCGATATTTAACCACCGAAAGATTTTGTCCCATAGCCAAGAGTATATGTTCATCGATAGACCAAAGTTGTGAAAAGTTAAAGTAAACTTTAAAGAATTGTTTAGTTTTGATAACTTTGTATTGGGTATTGTAGAGTAAAAGAGAGGCTCCCTCTTGGCCATGATTGGCTCCATAAATGGCTACAAAATGTTTGGATATACCCAATACGGAGAGTGGAGTATCAACTTTAAGTTGTGTCAGCATTGAGACAAAATTACCAGGAGAACGACTGGGTTCTATGTCATCGGCAAGACTCAGAAGGAATATACGTTTATCGGACCCTAAAAGGAATAGATATATGAAGATTGGAATCAAGAAATAGAGATTTAAAAACAATAGGAAAAGGATGTGTTATGATAAATGGACTAATGCTGGTGTCCGAGACCTTGTTAAGAGCTACGATCGATGCAAAACTAAGACTATATTTCTACTAAAAGGACCTTTAACTAAAGCTTTATTCAGATCTATGATTGAGTGTAAAAAGAGGCCATATTGAACCTAATTCAGTCTACTTTTTAGAGCTCCTATTGAAGCTAAATTGAGAACATATTTGGAACAAAGTTTAGGGCTAAACTATGGTTATATATAGAGCTACAATTGAATCTAATCTGATACTATATTTAACTAAAAGGGAAGCTGCTAAACTATACCTAAAAGACAGCTTTATTTAAAGCTATAAGTGAATCTAACTAAGACTACTTTACAGAGCTCCTCTTAAAGCTTAAATAAGACCCTATTAGGAACTAAAGTTAAAGCTAAACTGCGGCCATATTTAAAGCTAATTAGTCTAATATATAGAACTACAATTGAAACTATACTGTGGCGATATATCGAGATGCAATTGACCTTAAACTGAAATTATATTTAGAGCTATTATTGATAGTAACTGAGGATATAAGTAGAGCTAGGATTGAAGTTAAATGAAGCTATATTCAGAGCTTCGATTTAAGATACATTGAGCCTATGAGTGAAGCAAGCTATGACTGCTTTAAAGGTCGAATTTAGCTTTAGGATAAACTCTTATTACATGTAGAGCTACAATTGAAACTGATTGGGGGGTCAATATTTAGTTCTTCAATTAGATCTTAACTTAAATTATATATTCATTTAGGATTCATGCTTTACTACAGATATAATTAGTGCAATAATTGAAGCTAACTGCAACTCTACATAGAGAGCCACTAGAATTAACTAAAACCTTAACTAGTTTATAATCAATTGGGTGTTAATGAAATGAATTACAAACAAAAATTAATAACTTACATATGGTTAACAAAACCGGTGTACCATCACCCTCTATAACAGCCGCACCAGCTACATGAACATCTAAAACACCTCTTTTCAAATTGAAACGTTTCGTCTGAATCTCTACACCTTCTCCCTGATCCAAAGGTACACGCACCAAGTGATAATCACCAGTTTTAGTATTACGTTCAAAATAAGTTAAAATACGTTGACCAGTCGATAATTTTTGTATATTAAGATCGGAGAATATTAAACTAGAAAACAATTCGGTTGGTTGAGGAGCCCCAATATCAGCTTTACGCGATTCAATGGCCGATTGTAAGGATTCACAAGAGCCCATCTGAATACAAAACATAAGTATCACAATCATCTGCCACCAAATCGGCTATACTTTTTTGGAACTAAAAAAAAATGCATAGAAATTATTAATAATTAATAAAAAATAATAAACTTTTTAGTTACCTTTAACTTTTTGCACTTATTTAACATCTTGGTGGTATCATCCCATAATCTAAGAAACTTGTTGGCAAATACACCCACATATTTTTCAGTTTTCCTATCATACACCACTTTGGAGGATAGCTTTTCCAATACAGACCAGCTTTTTAGTTGTTTTTGGGTGGAAATCTTTAAATGTAAAACAAATAAATTTATTTTTAATCACAAATTTACACATGTCCCCAGAATACCTTGAATATTATGATAATGTTTTTGCCCAATGTTGTTATACTATTGCCTTCTTCTTTGTCCGGTGATATGCCCAGAAAGTCTTTGGGTTCTGGTATGGGACATAAATTATAATATGTTATAAATTTTGTCATTTTTTTCTAGTTAGAAATTTGTAAATTAATATTTTCTTTAAAAATAATTTATGAATTAAAGCAAAGAAACCAGCCGCACGTGTTTGTAGTTTGTTTACAATTTTTTTTTCTTCTAACAGAGTTGCACTTTTGTAACATATGTTTTGAAAATAGGGCGTTTTTACACCACAAAGCAAAATACACAGCAAAAAAAAAACAGTAATATAAAACTAGAGGTTTTTAAACAATAAAAACAAAAACTAAAATCTAAAAAGAAAATAATGTTTATTAAAATATACAAAATATTTTCTAATTTAATTAATAATTAGCCAAATAAGGCATAATTTTTTAATAACCCCACTAATTAATGTGCTTTACTAAAAAAAAACGCTAACTTGTTACTTAAAAACGCTTATATATATTACAAAAATTAACACATTTGCAATACTAACATTAGCTGACGTTTATTATTGCAATTGTTTTCGTTCTTTATATTTTGGTCGTCATATTCCTTGAGAAAACCACAAGAAAATTTCACAAATTTTGGCCAAAAAAATGGGTGGCAAAACAAAACAGACGCAACGTACTAAAAATAATGCCAAGGTAAGTCCATAACATTACAAAAAACTTTCTAAATTCCTTAAAAATTTCCATTTTAAACCAGCCTTCAAGCAGTGCCCGCAGTGCGGAATTACTGGGTTCAGCTCCTACATTTGTAGGTTTTTCGGCACACTCCGATTTTGGTATAATACCCTTTGCACCGGGTTTTACCCACAGCCGAACAGATGCCCGAAACATTTGATGCCAGCATAAGTCCTCAATATCAGTTGACCATGAAGAACTGTCAAAGAAAGATCCCATGACTAAGAAAAAAAGCTTTACAGGAATTTATTGATTTAATTAATGCATCCGAAATGGAAGAACTGAAAATGATTTTACCTTTATGGCCAAAATTCTATCACAATCTGGCTGTTGATCCCGAACACAATGTACGTGAACTAACACAGACTGTTCTGCAGCTGCTGGTGTCTAAGTGTAAAAAAGGCTGTAGCTCCCTATCTAAAGCAATTGGTACCTGTGTGGTTATCCAGTCAATTTGATAATTATGCTCCCGCCGCTTCTATAGCCAGTATTTCGTTTAGTGATACCTTTGCCAACAATGCCAATCGTACGCGTGAAGTTTGTCTGCATTGTCAAAGTGAGATTTTGGAATATGTTTTGCGTAATTTAACATTTCATACGGCTTCTACTTTGTCAACCGGCAAAAGTCTTACGCCCGAAGAAGCGGAGCAGAAGTATCAACGTGTTGTTATGTGCAGTTTAAAGGAGCTTTCCTTTTTTGTGGAACATACTATGGAGGCAGAGGATCAAACACAAATACTCGAAGGTTTGAAGAAGTTGTTGAATCACCAAAAGTTTTGGAGTTTTGCCAAGAATAAGCTGAATGCTATCAAGTATGTATGAGATTCAATTAGAAACGAGTCTGGTCTGTTAGTCTATGCTATTGTCCAGACTATAGATCAAACTTTAATCTACACTATGGACTAGACTATGATCTACAATATGGACTCGACTGTAGTATGATGGTTTAAAATTTGACTAATTTTTTGTTTACTTCCAGAGCTGCTTGGTTTGAATTAATGTATCACTTACTACAAAGTCCCAAACAACAGGAAATTTTTGCCACACAAAAAACACAAATGACAACAATAGCTTTTCAAAATATTGATGAATCCGATCCTCTTGTAGCTCCTCATGTTTGGGGTTGCATTTTGCTAATACAAACAAATTACAAAGGATTGGTAAGTTTCTCTCTTAAATCTCTTAAATATTAATATAGTTTCCATTAAATCTTTAAACCCATTTACAGGCATCAAACAATAGATTTTCATAAAAATGTTTGGCCTAAACTTACTCATCTACTGCGTAATGCCTTTAATCGTAATGCTCATGCTATATGTCCCAATATATTACCCTTCTTCTCACAATTAATACATGTCACCTCCGATATGCAGGAATATCATAATTTAATAAAGCAATTTTTCGACAATATTAGAGATGTAATTACAATGGAAATCCATACCAATAATACCTCAATGCAGGACAATAAAATGATTATAAAGACCTATTTTGAATGTCTGCGTTATATAATACAAAAAATCTATAATAAAAAGGATAACACTGTAGAGGAAGAGAAAACTTTGGTACTACAATTACTGGAAGAGAATATAGTAAAACCTATTAAATGGTTCTTACCGGAGATGATAGTTTAATAACCAAATACTTCTTCCAACAAACCTCTACATTGGTAGCTTTCTTTGACAAACAGTCGGCTAATTGCTCTTTATATCAACAATTATTGGAGAAATTTTGGTGTTTATTATTCACTCTCATACCCGAAGAACTTAATAAACCAGATGTTAGTGAAATATATTTGGAACATGTTATAGAACTTATCAATGATATGTATGTGGCAAAGCCTAATTTAGAAGAACATAAAGTTAAATTTGTTGAAGTTAATGGCGAAGAGGAAGGTGAAAATACTGAAAAACCAGTTAAAGATCATAATCAAACGACAGCAGCTTTATACAAAAAGAACTTAGACAATTGGTTTTGCAATTATTGCGTATTTGTTTTAATAAAACCGAGTCCTTAAAAAACTTCCAAATATATTAAACATGTACGTTTATTCTGTAATATGTTTAACGATAAGGAATTCTTTGCTAAAATAAGTGATGATGGTAAATTGGATACCACACTAAGGACTTTGGTGAATTTGTTAAAGTCATCATTTTTGGATAATGAGGCGTGTGCGATAGTGGTGGATGTAGTGTTTGAAATTTTACAGAATTTAGAAAAACAACAACGATTTGAATTCATCGAAAGGGAGTTGATAAAGGTAAGTGGAAACGAAATGAACTAACTAAAAGAACTTGAGAACTAGAATTGAACTAGAACTGAATTAAAACTGAACTAAACTAGAACTGAACTGAACAGAACTAGAACTGAACTAGAACTGAACTAGAACTGAACTAGAACTGAACTAGAACTGAACTAAACTAACTAGAACTGAACTAGAACTGAACTAGAACTGAACTAGAACTGAACTAGAACTGAACTAGAACTGAACTAGAACTGAACTAGAACTGAACTAGAACTGAACTAGAACTGAACTAGAACTGAACTAGAACTGAACTAGAACTGAACTAGAACTGAACTAGAACTGAACTAGAACTGAACTAGAACTGAACTAGAACTGAACTAGAACTGAACTAGAACTGAACTAGAACTGAACTAGAACTGAACTAGAACTGAACTAGAACTGAACTAGAACTGAACTAGAACTGAACTAGAACTGAACTAAACTGAACTAGAACTGAACTAGAACTGAACTAGAACTGAACTAGAACTGAACTAGAACTGAACTAGAACTGAACTAGAACTGAACTAGAACTGAACTAGAACTGAACTAGAACTGAACTAGAACTGAACTAGAACTGAACTAGAACTGAACTAGAACTGAAACTAGAACTGAACTAGAACTGAACTAGAACTGAACTAGAACTGAACTAGAACTGAACTAGAACTGAACTAGAACTGAACTAGAACTGAACTAGAACTGAACTAGAATGAACTAGAACTGAACTAGAACTGAACTAGAACTGAACTAGAACTGAACTAGAACTGAACTAGAACTGAACTAGAACTGAACTAGAACTGAACTAGAACTGAACTAGAACTGAACTAGAACTGAACTAAACTGAACTAGAACTGAACTAGAACTGAACTAGAACTGAACTAGAACTGAACTAGAACTGAACTAGAACTGAACTAGAACTGAACTAGAACTGAACTAGAACTGAACTAGCTGAACTAGAACTGAACTAGAACAACTAGAACTAACTAGAACTGAACTAGACTGAACTAGAACTGAACTAGAACTGAACTAGAACTGAACTAGAACTGAACTAGAACTGAACTAGAACTGAACTAGAACTGAACTAGAACTGAACTAGAACTGAACTAGAACTATATAGAACTGAAAAGAGTAGACTGCATTGTAAGAAATTGTCATTATTTTCTTCTTTTTTCCCCACCCACCAGATTCCCCATCATTTAACCCAAACCTTAGTATTGCAACGTTTACTCTCCCATCCCTTGTGCATAGAACCGGAAGTACGCTGTATGTTGTCACAAAATGAAACCACCGAAATTATCAGCAAAATTGCACACGAGGTGGTTAACAACAATTCCAAGGATTTATTTAATCTCCTGCACAAGTGTTTCTTTCAAACTGATACTGGAGATATATTAATTACCTCCCGATCCGTAGACACAATACTCAATATACTTTCTGAACCTTTGGAAGAGCAGCAACATAATGAAAACTCCAACACCGATGTAGATGCCTGTGGTAGTTTTATAGCACAAATAATGCCTGTGGTCTGTTCGAATGAAAATTCATCTAGAGACGTACAACATAAAGTATTCTTAAGGTTGTTTAAATTTAGTATAGAAAGTCGGTCAATGATTATATATCAGAGGATACGTTATGGGAAATAACCACCTGCTGGCAGGATGCTTTATCAAGTGAAGATATTATTATAGATGAGGAATTATTAAAGAAATGCACGGAATTGTTCAACAGCAAGCGGAAAAGGAAGATTTAACTCTTACAGCTCTTGAATCTATGGCAGAAGCCATGGCCAAATTTGTTACTTGTTCTACCGAAAATATTGAAGACGAATCCCAACGTTCTGTTAAAATCGATGAAGTTTTACAGACTCTACTGCAAAATAATTTAAATGATATAGAAACACTCTTTAATGTTTGTTTATTTATAGAATCCTTAAAAGGAGCAGCAACTCCTTCAAGTGATTTTACTCAACAAGTAAAAAGTTTCAATGATTTGAAACTGGTATTACAAAAATCCTTACTTAATCTAACAACTCTCTGTAAACTAGTGTGTAAAACGAGTAAAACTCCTACTTTACTAGAGAACACGGAAAACAATGAAGATGAAATCACCGATGATTACTGTGATCCTAATGAAAATTTATTGAAAATTTGGTCTGACTACTTGCAAACACAACTATTGCAATATATTAACATCGCAGCCT